TTTTTTTTTTTTTTTTAGGTCTTTTGAAGGCCTAAGCCTTCCAAAAAGTACTTTTGCTGCCAGGGGTATTGCTAGCCCCTGAGGCAGCCCAGGGATTCAAGCGAATATTTGGTTTATGTCCATAGTAGTTACATACTAGCCCTCCAGCATTGTCTGCTATACATGTCAGCTCTGTGAGGTGACGCTGCCAGTACAAATACCAGTGTCGCAGGATTCCTGCTTACTCCATTCTTGCTTATGTTAACCATTGCTTGGGGTTACTATCCGCAAAAATGTCCCATTGATGTTCAGCCGTTGGCGCTCACCATTGTTGTACTGCATGAAGTTTTCACATTTGAAAAGTCATATTTGTTTCCCGTGAAATGAGTTGGGGACGGAGATGATTAAATCAAAACTTTTGTTCTTTTTTTTTTCTTCAACTTAATTGTGTGTTCAGTACCATAGTGTGTATATCCAGCGATCAGCCATAACACTCTGACCACTGTGAGGTGAAGTGAATAACATTGATTATCGCGGTGCAATGGCACCTGGAAGTGGGTGGGGTATATAAGGCAAGAAGCGAACATTTGTCCCTGAAGTTGAAGCAGAAGAATGGGCAAGCATAAGGATTTCAGTGACCAGGGCCAAATTGTGATGGCTGGAAGACTGGGTCAGAGCAACTCCAGAACTGCATGTCTTGTGGGATGTTCCCGGTCTGCAGTGGTCCGGAGTTACCAAAAGTGGTCCAAGGAAGGAAAACCGGTGAACCAGCGACAGGGTCATGGGTGGCCAATGCTCATTATTGCACGTGGGGAAGGAAGACTGTCCCGTGTTGTCTGATCCAATAGAAGAGCTACTGGGGCTCAAAGTGGTGAAAAAGTGAATGCTGGTTCTGATAGAAAGGTGTCTGAACACACAGTGCATCAGTTTGTTGCATATGAGCTGCATAGCAGCAGAGCGGTCAAGGTGCCCTTGCTGACCCGTGTCCACCGCCAAAAGCGCCTCCAATGGCTCGTGAGCATTAGACCTGGACACTGAGCAATGGAATAAGGTGGCCTGGTCTGATGAATCACATTTTCTTTACCATCATGTGACTAGCTGGGTGCTTGTGTGTCGCTTACCTGGGGAAGTGATGGTACCAGAATGCACTATGAGAAGAAGGCAAGCTGGCGGAGGCAGTGTGATGCTTTGGGCAATGTTCTGCTGGGAAACTTTGGGTCCTGCCATTCATGTGGATGTTACTTTGACACGTACCACCTACCTAAACATTGTTGCTGACCAAGCGCATCTCTTCATGGAAACTGAATTCCCTGATGGCAGTGGCCTCTTTCAGCAGGATAATGCTCCCTGCCACACTGCAAAAATGGGTCAAGAATGGTTTGAGGAACACAACAAGAAGTTTGAGGTGTTGACCTGGCCTCCAAATTCTCCAGATCTCAATCCAATCGAGCATCTATGGGATGTGCTGACAAACAAGTGCGATCCAGGGAGGTCCCTTCTTACACTTTACCGGACTCAAAGGATCTGCTACTGATGGTTTGGTGCCAGAAACCACAGAATACCTTCAGAGGTCTAGTGGAGTCCAGGCCTCAACGGGTCAGGGCTGTTTTGGTGGCAAAAGGGGGACCTACTCAATAGTAGGCGGCTGGTCAATATTATGGCTGATTGGTGCATAATATAATACGTTAAGATAAAATATATATGTATATGTATAATACATTTTTAGATAAAAAATATTTCAGGCCGAAAATGACTTTTTTTTGTAAACCTCTTTAAAAATATTTGTTATATTATTTTAGTTTTTTTTTTTTTTTTTTTTTTT